AATTCCTTGCTTCTGACCGGAGAGGTGGTGGTGTGATACAGAGATATCATGAGAGGCAGCAAGATTTAGACCTGCGGTGTGGTCCCCACTGAACTCCATGGAAAAAGCTATTTTCTGGGAGAAGAGGGTATCTTTGCAGGAGAAAAGGAATTGCAGAATGTTACAAAGTAAGTTTTATTTCCTCAGACTGTAGGAGGTATAAGCTCAGTCAGGCATTGTTAGTAAATAAGATCTAGAGCACTTAAAAGGAGGATTCAATCACAAATTCAATTGGTCCATTAACTAAATGTAATATTATTTACCTAAGTGGCCCTTCTGGACTATTTCATAACTCAGGTTTATAACCTTTTTTAAAAAAGATCAATATTACTGAGTGCACAGTCCCCTGAGCATGATGGAAGAGTCAGGCCATTTTAGCAGCTATGGTCCGTGATTTCCAGAGCTGACGGTCCAGACGAGAAATGCGAAATGAGGAAAATACTCTCCTGGAAATAGTAAAAAGAAGAAATAGCCTCGGAGAGAAGGATGGAGAGGAGCAGCGAGGTGAGATGTGTTGCAAGAGATCAGCCCTTTTATTGGGCTCATGCAGCTAGAACATAGAGGCAGGCTCTCCAGCGCACAGAAACCCTCCTGCAAATCTGAGAGAGAAGCTGTAGTGACATTTAAAGCCACACACACGGGTTTGCCAACATGTGTCAGAGTGAATCTCCAGTGGGAGGGAGCAACCGACCGCTCTATTTGCAACTTGGCAGATGGGCTGTTTTGTTGTCTGCTCTAATGTGTGATGCGAGCTGGCTGCTCACGCTGAGCCCCGTCAAGTGGGAAAGGTGGCACTCTGCTATCGACCCCGCGTCCATGATCCAGTGGTTGATTCGCTCCTGTCAGCTGGGAGCGACGAGCTCCTGCACCTCAATTCAGTGCCCCGACAAATCGCTGCTGGGAGGCTCGGCAATCAGGAGCGGTGGCACTTTTCCACGTCTTTAACCAGCGTCGTGAAAAGTCAAATGCTAAAAGCAAATAAAAGCCAGGAAGGAGCTGTTCCGTGGCTGCGCTGCCGTTAACTGGTGGGACGCTGGCTCCCACCATTTCAGCTCTTCTCCTCCCCTTCCATACAGGTCATCCCCATCGCTGTGAGACCAGGAGGTACGTGGCTATGCTTTGTGTCAAGTGGGGAAGAAAGGAGGGCTCCTGACAGGTCCTAAAAAAAAAAAATCGTACTGAAACCTCATGAAATTTTCAGTGGCAAAAGGCAATGCTGCTGAGAGACCTTTGCCTGTCTGTCCTCATTAAGCACGTCTCTAACTAATGGCTACTGTTCAGTGCTGCTCCCTGGCTCTTCTTTCCCCCTGCCTCTCCCACAGGGCTCAGGCTGCTCTTCCCTGTGCTGCCACACATCACTCCGACCCGTGTGCAGTTTTCATGATGTGCTCTCCTACAAGAAATATCAGAGAGGAAAAGCAATTTTTGTTCCTTCCACTGCCTTCCGTGGTGCCGATGCGATCTCTGGTTCACCTGGGCACGGCACATCCATTCGATGAATTAAATGGATCGCTCGGTGTCGAGTTGTGGTCTGGGGCAGGAGGCCCGCGGGGACGTGGAGGACAGCGCAGGGTTGGCCGAAGGTTTTGTATAGATGGTGACATGTGAAGCTGCACTTAGTTTTCAGTGAAAGCCACTGTTTTCAGCCCTTGACTGCAGTAAAACTGTTCCCTTGTGCTCATAACGTGACCACTCTGAGGGTGCAGTCCAAAAGCAGGTGGCAGGCGATCCCTCAAGCCCCAGTGCTGTTTCTCTGGTGCCATTTCTCTCTTCCAAGACAGAAACGTGTCCCTGCTGACACAGGGTATAGCTGCGTCTGACCCGAGTCTTTGACAATGCAGAGCAATTTTTGCAGGGACAGGAAACCTATTTTGTGTTATTAGACAAATACGGCTGGAAACCTTCCTTCTCCAAAGCAGACGAGGTGTTTTGCCAGGTGTGGCAGCTTTTCAAGTGGCTGAAGCTCTCAGTTCTCTGCCAGGCAGCATACAAGCGGTGTCAGACTGAAACGGCTTCAAGATTTGGGCTAATAGTTCAGGGGGAAGAGAGACCTAACTGTAGAGAGGTGATAGTCTAAACTGAGTGATAAGACATCTGCTTATCTTGTGTAGCTTGCTTTGTGGTGTTCTTGGTTTTCTGCACCTGTTCATGCTGCAGATAGCACCATCGCAATAGCCCGGCTTTGGATATTCTCTGCTGCATCTGTAGTCAGGCGTAAACTAGAAAAAAAAAACTTTCCTTGCCCCAAATATTAACTCAGGTAGCAGAAAATGCCTCTCTATAAAGAGAAGTCATGGAAGATGTGTGCTTTCAGGCTTTCTTGCATGGATTCCAAAATTTTAATGTGACTATGTTTCTATTTTTGCTACCTTACCAGCATGCCCTCGTTTCTTTTCTCTAGGCACCTCAGAATTGCAACCCCCTTTTCTTACCTGGACTTCATCAATATTTCTCTCATTTCTCAACCAGTAAGCAGGTGACAGTACTACTCTGGAACAAACAAGCAGTGCAGGATGTACTGGTGTTGGCTGTTTCTTTCCCCAAGTGATGCTGCTTCCAGGAGACCCAGGGTATGGGGAAGTGGCTGCTAGAGAGCAGCAATGCTTGGAGTTGTTTGTTCCATGTCAGAGCACATGCACGTGTTTGGCTGATGCTCTTTTATCTGGTTTTGAAAGAGAAAGCCATCAAGCTTGGAAGGTGAGCCTGTAATTTTGCTGGATCTCACGCGGGTGGCTGCTCAGCAGCTAAACATTTTGCTGAAGTTGTCCATAGAATCCAGGCAGAAATATATGAGTTTTGACACTCGTGTGATATCATTTCCAAACGTGGTCGACAGCCTGTGTTAGTTGGGCTATACAGATGATTGCATGAGAAGAATTCAGGACAAATCATTCATCAGAGCCTTTCCTGTGTGGCTTTATTGCAGCTTCTTGTGTGCCTGAAGTATTAAAGAAATGCTCTGTTGGACTGAGGTTGTACTGGGAGATGGGATCTCACTGAGGAGTTAAGATATCTGAAGGGTTTTTTCTTCCTCTTTCTACAAAGCGGTGGGAAAGGAAAGGGATCCAGTTCTGGCACAATGTTTCAGAAGGTGACATTTGTTATAACTCACTGCAAATGTTACTCACCATCTACAAAACATTCAATTAAACTCAAGAGCAGTGAAAAATACCCAGCTCCACTTCAGCAGCTGCACTTGGCATCAGAACCCCTCAGGTTCCTTGGGAGCCAACAGCTGGAGACCTCCACGCCTTGGCTCTGTCCCACCTGTCCCTGTTCCCTGGAAGCCAGGTTGTCAAAGATTGCTGTGACCAAGCAGGGAAGTGGCTTTCTGTGCTGGCAGTCCTCCTAGAACACTGATTTCCCTGATGAAATCACATTCTCACAGAGCACAACCCCCCCAGTCGATGCATTAAACAAAGACCACCATAAGCTGCTGGTTTGGAAGTCAAAAAATAGGAAAAATTGTCCAATACACGTACGATTGTTTGTATGCGAATGGTGGGTCCTTTTGCCTCTGATGCCTTTATGTGTGCCTTCAGGTTACAGCACGGAGCTGTAATTCGTGAAATGCAACCAACACAAACTTTGCTCCTGCTTGCAGGAAACCAGGACACCAGGCACGCACATTTTTGGTATGCCAAAGCCGTTGTTACAGATCTCTGGCTCCCCAGGAACTTCGCAGATGTAACTTTGCTGTGTGCTCCAGCCACCCACTGTTTTGCAGTGTCAGCTGGGCTGGAGCTCAGATCCTCCCACTCTCCGCACCGGGCCCGCTACGCTGGAGCTGAAGGCAAAATGCAAATGGGCTGCGCTGAGCACGGCTGCCTTATGGCACGGTGCAGGGGGGTGCTGGAGGCAGAACCTGGAGCATCTCGTTCCTGGTTCAGCACCTAAACCACGAGATCTTGCCTCTCATTGCCTCTTTATTAAAGCTCCTCATTCCCCTGGATAGGGGACTGAAATGGAACAAAGCTCCGGCTAATTTTCTGCATAAGCCATTGAGTTTTGGGCAAGGAGATGGAAAAAGCCATCCAATTAGCTATTGCTGCTGGCATCCCCTGGGCCTGATTTGGTGTAGCTTGTTGATGCCAAGCAGAGGTAGATAACCATAGCTCCCTTTTTGCTTTGGCGTGAAAACCTTTCCAGCCCGTATTTCCTATGAGTTCAGTCACCTGCTAGGCTCTTTGAGCCGTGTGAACAAGCTGTAATTCCTCCAGTTTGCTACACTTGTTCCAGGGCAGGCTTTACTTCTCATTTTCCTAGGTTCTAAACAACATCACTGCCTCTGGAGAGCAAGGGTGGTGGCTCTCTTCATCAGCCTGTCTGGGTCCTATTTATAAACGAGGAGAGTGAGAAATTATGTTAAAAACTTGGAAGCTTTAAAAATAAAACTGTGACCTAGTCAAAGAGTAAACATTAGAGAAAAATAAAAACCTATTTTAAGAGATGGAAATGGAGAGGAAGCAGCAAAAGTAATTCAAAGAGATTTTTAACTGTAAATAGGAGGGTGTAAAACCTCTGAACACTGGAAGTTCAGATGCTGAGGACCTGGCTCAAGGGTGAAAAAGGAGGGAAGAAAAAAGACATTGAGCAGGGGAAAAAAAAGCAAGGTGAGAAATCCACCCCACTGTACGTGACAGATTATCCAGAAACAACAGGATCGAGCTTCTTTCCAGACAAAGGAAAGCAGTGTTTAAATTGGATTTACAAGTATTCTGAGTGCCTGTCATGTATACATCTTCTGAGCAGTGGTGTATCCTTAATTGTATCCTTATTTTTTTCAGGTAGTCGTTTAATGTGGGGTTGGTCAGGGAGTGTTGAGGTTGTACTGAGAAGGAAAGATGTAAAAAAGGAATCGGAAGCTTTTATTGCAATGGATATTTGGAGATCTGTCCCCAGGAGGAACAGATAAGGGTTGCTTGTCCATTTTTTCACATCTGCTTATTTTTCCCCGACAGGTTGCCTGGTCACTATGAACAATGGCCCAGCTATACTACAAAAAGGTAAACTATTCACCATACAGAGATCGGATCCCGCTGCAGATTGTGCGAGCAGAGGCAGAGCTCTCGGTGGAGGAGAAGGCCTACCTCAGCGCCGTGGAGAAGGGGGACTATGCCAGCGTGAAACATGCCTTACAAGAGGCGGAGATCTACTACAACATCAACATTAACTGTATGGATCCTCTCGGTCGCAGTGCCCTTTTAATAGCCATAGAGAACGAAAATCTGGAGATCATGGAGTTACTCCTGAGCCACAGTGTGTACGTGGGAGATGCTCTGCTCTACGCGATACGGAAAGAGGTGGTGGGAGCTGTGGAGCTGCTGCTGAATTACAGGAAGCCAAGTGGTGAGAAGCAGGTGAGTCAAGTGTTCCCCTTCAGCTGTTACCTTAATAAAATCCTGTGTGAGGAAAGTGGTGCTCCACAGAGAAGGGGCTGTTCGAGAGTCAGAAGCCGGAGTCCTTAATGCAGAGCCCTTGCTCTAAATGTGCAGAGTGGATGTGGGCAGCTCGGCTTGGATGATAACTTCCCAGGCTGAGCAGACACGCTCAGCCTGACTTAACTCAGCGTTCTCAGTTTCACTCGGTGTTCTTTTCAGTCATACAGGGTTTGTGGACGTACTGATTTATAGGTTGATTTATAGACGCACACTTTGTAAAGGAATTTGGGGCTGTCTGAAGTTATATTCCAATATATAATATGAGCTATTGCCATGCTGCTGTGCTGATATTAATAAGTGGAATTGCTTTTCGTAAGTAAATCCTGAAAACACCCGAGCTTATAAATTACCGTAAGCAAGGAAGCAGTCTGCTAGCTTTCGGTACTTAGCCATAGTAGAGGCATCTTGGTCTCCGTCTCTGGAGAGCCCTAGTTCAGAACCGCTGAGGCAGTACACAACATTGCAGCATGAACTGAGGTGCTATATATCTGAGCGATGAACAGCTATGACCTGTGGGAAGGATCCTTAGCTGCAAAGCCATCAGTTACATAAGGCTCTTCGTGAAAAAGCACCAAATCTGGATCCTGCCATTTCAAGTGTCACATATCACACTGTCCCTGGCTTTTTTTTTCATCTGCAAGTGATAGTGCTGGTAACTGGGACAGTTGGAATGCATTACTGACCACTGCCAATTTTCACAAGATCTGTGCTTAGAAAGGAACTTGCAAACCTGATGATCCTTATTTCTCAGGTCTTCTTCTGAAATCTGCTTGTACAGCCCTTTGTGTGTGAAAGAAGAAAAAGTTTAATATCAGTCAACCAGAAAAGAAAACTTTTCCAATAGGTAGGGCCTTAGGACATAGTTTTTAAATAGTAATTTTACGTAGTCAAAGCAAACAATAAGGAAACACTCCAGGTCAACAATCAAGAATGCTCAGAAACAGCAATACTGCATACCACAGCAATGCTGTTCTAATGTGCGGCTTAAGTGCTAGGGAGATGGAAAATCTCTGCTATCAGACCTGAAAGTTGGGATGTTATTCATAGTTTTAATGTGTCAAAACATAAGTAGCAAAACAAGAGCCGTAAATGGAGAATGAGCCATTTTTTTCCAAGCGAGTTGGACCATCCTATGCCCAACATAACAGAAAATAGAATAGAAGAAAGGGATAGATCACATTACTGAAAGTTTTAAGTAGCATGAGGAACTGCTAATAATTATTGCAGATTAATGATGTATTTCTTCAAAAATATCTTGAAAAGCAAGTGATGGGGTTCATATGTATTTCTGTAAGATCTCTTGATTACTGAAGCTTGGCCACTCAAATTCAAAGCCCCGATGGCTTAACTGGACAGAGGTCCATGAAATAAGAAGGATTTATAACAGCTGAAACTCAGCTCCAGCATCTCTAGGCAGTGATACATTTCATGCTAAGCCTGTTTCATTTTTCTTTGCTGGTGTGCAGCCATCATTCTGTAGCTAGGCTTCTATCTGCTGCAAAGTTTACAACTTGCAGGGGAATGTGTGTGGGAGAAAAGATGCGGTGCCAGTTTCAGCTTTATTTACAAGGTTGCTACAAGACCAGATTTCATCGGTATGTTTTAATCTAGTGCTGGCTTGATGCAAGATCCCATGCAGAAAGTGGGGATAACTTCCCTGATAACTTCCCTGGTTTGTGGTTCAGGCTCTTCTGTGAACTGCAGGAGGTGTTTGCCAGCAGAGGGCTGCAGGACTGGCCTTCCCCTTCTGTGGTTTCACTGATTGCTCTTGCGGTGATGGTAATTAACATTTGTTTCATGTGCAGTGATATCACGGTAAATGGGAAGAGCTGCTTAGCTACACAAAGTCGGGACACACAGGTCAGCTTGTCAAAGCACAAAGCTAACATAGGAGGGCTTCTTGAACACGACTTCCCGAGCCTGATTCGAGAGTGGTATCGGTGCACGTTCAGTAATTATCTTTGCTGGACCCTTTCTCAGAAAGTCCTTTGGGAATCCAACACTTAATTAATTCACAAAAAGCCCTTGCTTTGTCCTAATTAATTACTTATATGTTCAAGAAACCTACCGAAAATCTGCTGTTTTGGTTGTGTAGTTACCCAAGTTCACACCTCACGGAATGGTTTCTGTCTCGATGAGAAATCTGTAAGCTTACATCTCTTTAGTGTGTCAGGTTTAGCTTTATCTGTTCCCGAATTGTACACAAGGTCCAGTTTCCCTGAACAAACGTGTGGGAAGGCAGCTCCTTGACTCAGGCATAGCAGCCTGTTTCCACTTTGGGGCTGTCTGTTCGTCTTCGCGGCACTCGAGGCAGAAGTGGAGGCAAAGCATCTTGTGATTGCTCTCTTAAATGCTTCGCGCACCACCTTCACCCGACGGAGTCTGGGGTCTGTGAAAGCCCGCTAGTTCCCATCTCCTGCCCTCTGCCTCTGAGAGGAGGTTGCTTGATGCTGTACCAAAGCCTTGCCGGGCATGAGGAGCTGTTCCTGTTTGTGTCAGTTCAGGTAATTGTTCTCTGCATCTCAAAAGCATCGCTCAGCAGCACCACACTCAGCACAAGCCATTTTACAGGCATGGGGTCTGCTCATTCGTACCCCCTTATCCCCGTACTGCTGCCCCAACCAAAACCATCACAGGTTGCACGATGCCAGCCTTTTGTGGGGTTGCAGCAACTGTATCTAGACAGCAAAAGAGGCACCCAAATGCGGAAGGGCAGGGGGTGGAAGACACCACCTTCCGTTCAGACGTGCCCTGCAGAACGGTTTTGCTCCCAAGGCACAGAGCCTGTGAAGGGTGCTGTGTCCTGGGCGCTGCCTACCCGTTCCTTGAGAGCAGAGCTCTTCCCCGTGTGCTGACCTTTCCAGGGAGCAGAAAACAAACAAACAAAAAATCAAATATGAGAAGTGACGTGTGTTGTGTGCCTCATGTAAGAGATGCAGGGTCTCACCCAGGATGGAAGGGCCAGGTGGAAATGGCTGAAAAGAGCAGGCGGCAGAGCTGCTCCTGGCCTGTCATTAAGTGACTGTGGGCAGTCATTGTTCAGCAAACCTTTGCTAGGCTCCTGTTTAAGTGCCATTTACTGAGAACACCGTGCCAGTGGCAGGGGTAAGTCATAGCCAGTAACTATAACAACACAAAGCTCCCGCACTGCGGCCGTGCGGATGCGGTGTCTCGGGGGGGAGAGATGACTCCGTGTGCATGCGGAGCCTACGGGAGCCAGGAGCACAAACCAGCCCTCTCTAAAGGCCACTGCAGAGCGCACAATAAATGAGTGTGCTGAACGGTGATGCGTTCAAAGAGATCTATTTCCTTTTAGGTTTCCCTCCAAGCAAGGTTCGTGGGCTATTTTAAGAAGTTAGCATTTCTCCTGGAACCTGTTCTGCCTGGTCCTGACAACTTAGGACTGTGCTGAGAGTCTCTCAATGAAACTGGGGAGACTTCATCAGCTACAGGCAGAACTATTGCTGCTACGGTAGCTCTGCGGCTAACGTAAGGAAGTTGCTGCTGTTGTGAAAGATGCTGGCACCTCTGGAGATTTGGGCTTCAGTGAGAGAGCCGTCAGAGTGCAAGCATCTTTCTTCTGCTACTTCGGGAAGACCACGCAGACATGCTGACATGCGTCATTGGGGTTAACAGAAACTCAAAGTGACTTTCGAGTTTGAGTTCAGCACTACCACAGGAGCAAGAGAATGCTTTTGAATCCTATTGAACAATTTCTCCTGCCCAGTAAAGTCTTCTGCCTCCACACCTGTTTGATCTTGAGATTTGGGTGGTTTCGGGTGTGTGTTTTGTTTGGTGTTTTTTTTGTTGTTGCTGTTTTTGTTTTCCCCCAGAAGTCATTTTAGCAATGTGTTTTTGCCATCCAGACATCAATACCGTGCGTTATGTTTTCAGCCAGGCTGGAGTCTGCCGCTAACCTGCACTGACAAACAAGAGGAAGTATAAATCAGAAAATCCACATTTTCCCACTTATCCGAAGCATTTTCACTTTATCTTTAGTAATGGCTGTACTTCCATCAATTTTGAATCCTGCTGAAATCAGTACAAATCTTCTCTGTGACTTCAGACGAGGTCTGAGGAACATGGAGGCATTTTTTAATAGCCTCTCATGTGAATTCTGCCAGGCGGCTGCAGCTCCCTGTTAAGCGTGCATCGCAGCTCGTGGCTTGCACACATCTCGCATTGTTTTTTGCCTTGTTACGGTGGATGTTTGCAGTGCAACAAGCGCAGGCTGTGCTGGCTGCCGAGCCACTTGCATTCTTGAAGAAGCTGCAGGCAGGCAGCTGAATTACTACACGTTGATGGTATGGCCATGAGCACCTTTACGGGTAGCTGTTTTCTTCACAACAATCAGAGCTGACATCAAATGTTTACATAAGGATGATACTAGCATCTCTCTGGTATCTGCCAAAATTAGCAATTTGTTCATGGCAGATGGCTCCGAATTAATCTGGTTCACAGATGGGACTACAAATGCAATTCCTCAATAATGAGAATAAAAAGAAAAGGGATCTCAGTATTTATGACCGTGATTCAATTTGTTTCGACGGTCTAAAGGCCTTATGAGTCAATGAGATCTCAACAGATACCTACCCATATGTCTTCCAAAAGAAGAATCTGAACAAGAAATAAAGCCCTGGAAGAATATGGTTGTGGAGAGGAAGCGATGGAGAATAAAAGGCAAGCTTTTAAGTCTTAGCTCCTAATCCTCAGATACCTGCTGGCGGAAGGTTGCTACACTTGATAGTATTTGCAAACTTAACATTTGACCTCAAAAATCCTCTTTTAAATGAACTGATGAGTGAAAAATCCGTTGTCATCGATGTCAATATCATAGATCAGCAGCCAAGAAACAATCTTTTGTGAACCAGAAATTATGTGGTGCGTTAAACCATGTTATTCTTGCCCAAATCCAGTAACTTCCTTGATACAGCGTGATTTAACTGATTTTTCTTACTCACTTAGGGTTCTTCTTCCTCTATGCACAGTCCAGTGCAAAGCTGCGTTCTGACTTCCAGCAGCCCTTGATACTTTCTGCATGGACAGACTCATTGCTAGCGTTGTCAGACCGATGCAGTCACTGACAGGAGCAGGTATCTCAGGTATCTCATGGCATGGAAGTTGGATTCCACAATCAGGAGGTGTAGGAATTGCTGGTATTCCTCGTGTCCTGGCTGAGCAGTTCCTGTGGATCTGTGTCACTTGCAGAGGTGCCTGGGGTAGGACCAAAGGACCTGGGTTTTGTAGCTGGGAGAAATGTTACCCCATCTCCTTCAGCAAAAGGTTTGTTTCCTTGATATTTAGTAAGGTTAAAGGCACAGGAGAGACTTGTGGACTTCCCAGCTGAAACTGCTGAGCCCTGTAGCACCAACTCCAAACCCATGAGCTGAGGATGGATGCAGAGAGAGCCTTCAGATACAGGCTGGACAAAGATGCTTCCTTCTGCAGTGGTAACATATTTTGGGTGCTCACACTGCTTCTGGGACATCATGGACGAGGTGGATGCCAACGGCTATGAGGTATTACGGAGGCGTGAAGGACTGCAAAGGGATCAAAGCCTAGAGTGCCCTTCTGCAGTGCTAGCCATAGTTTGCAAGCAGTATTTGTGTTCTTACAGCAGTTTAAAAAGCAGTTCAGCTAATTATGGAGGGCTGAGACGTTGGGTTACTGAAACCTGGGCACCCGTGTCATGGAAGTCTGTGGGTCTGACCCGGTCGTACAGTGCTACACAGCAAGAACTCAGGAGCAGAGAGGCTAGCAGGCTGCTTGCTGTGACTCAGTACGGATACCGTGCCCTTTGGTGTGACTCAGACCAGCTGTTCCCATGTTGATACAAGAAGTCCGAAGTGAAAAGGGGAGGCTGGACCTGGTTGGGTGCACTCGGAGCCAGAGCTGAAGCAGTAGAGAAAAACCAGCCATGGGTTGTCAGTATGAAAATATTTGAAAGGCACAATAAGGAAGAAAGATTGTGTCTGAAAACAGCAAACTAGCTGTTACTGCTCCAAAGCCTAATGGCTCTGCCAGCACCCAGGCTTTTCATTATTTTTATTGATGCAGTAATAATTCACAGCTATAGTTAACGTGCCTTTGACATTGGCGGCTGCCTTCAGAATGAATTCCATCTAATTAAACAGTGAAATCAAAGATCACTTCAGTTAATGATTACATCTAACTGGGAGACTTCCCTCCCGCCCCACCGCCTTCCTCCCCAGGTGATCTTAAATCCACGAGAAGGTGCGAGGCAAAACCAGGAGCTCGGCAACTTATCACGGAGCTAATGAGCAGCAGCAGGGCTGAGGCTCGCAGGCTGCAGCGCCGGCTTCCAGCCCCTGGCGGTGGCAAATGAGTCCCTGGCTCCTTCTCCAGGGCCAGCAGCAAAGCTGTTACTTCCTAGGAGGGCTGGTGGATCAGGGTGAGAACCACATCGCAGCACGCACAAACACGGCACGCTTGTGAGCTAGCATGTGGACAGGTAGGGAAGGCAGGGGCGTGCTGTTAGAGGAGGTGCTTCCTGGGGAATTTTCTTTATTCAGTTGTGGGAGTGAGCTGAGCGCTTGCCCGTGTCAGCTGCTAACAGCACAGCTCAGGAAAGCTGAAGTGCAGCGTGATGGAGTGGCTGCTGGTGGTCTGAGCAGCTGGGAGCATCCTGCACACCCAGCAGGGCGCGTTTGGGGCCAGCAGTGGTACGGGTCTCAGCTGCGTGGACTGCCTGTAGCAAACCAGTTGTAGGAAAAAAGTTCCCTTCGTGTTCCTACACAAGTAAGCTTTTGGTCTCTCTATAGATCTGCCCATTAAGGTGTTAAATTCAATAAAACGTATTTGCTCACCTACCCAGCACCCACAAATGGGCCTCGTTCACTCACGAGCCCTGATAACAGCATTAGCTTCTCTCTTAGATCAGCCCCACAACATCAGATAACAAGATTTTTGCCTCTGGTTTGTGATTTCTGACACCCAGAAAGGGCACGTGGCATGGCTGTCCAAATGGGAAGATGCTGGCAAGTCTGCCTGCTGAAATAGCTGCGACACATGGTCAAAAGGAAGCTTGTTTATAGGGGGAAATTGAACTTACATTACAGGCTGCCCTGAAACGAGGCTCTGGGATTTTGGAGGAGCCCCGTAGCTCTGATCAGGCTGTTGAATACAGTTGTGTGAACTTGCAAATTAGAACAGCACCTTTATGGCTCATTTGTCCCCGTGATGGGGCAGTGATCAGAGTGCGATGGGCAGAGCCTTCTGGTGGCTCCAAGAGTGGGGAAAACCAAAGAGGCATCAGCTGAGCACACGAGCCTGCTCCCTGATCAGCCCTGCTTTGCTGGTGCTTAGTTTGGGGGAGAGGGAGGACTCACGTGCTCCTCTTAAATACTCTTCAAGCAGACCGAGCATGAGCTAGAGCCAGTCTTGGCAGCGTGAGGGGCATATTCGCTGCGTGTTTTCAACTGCTTAGGGTTAGAAATAAAGGAACTCAGTGCCCCAGTGGTAATAGAGAAAGATACAAGCACAGAGGTTATTCTTGTGCGACACCGCACCACCTCTCTGGGTTGCCATTTCTTCAGTAGCACAAACTCTGGGGTCTTTTCAGAATCCATACAGTCTTAGGTTCTGCTTTTTGGCATTGTTTTTCTGCTACCTAATAGTCAGAATGGGAGGAAACAGCCACCGGCCCTGGGAGCATGGAGATGTGTTTTGTGCAATGTCAGGCAGCGCTGGGCTGGCACCAGGTGCACTCGCTCCCTGCGCTTTGTGATGTTGTCTTGTGATGAAAGCTGATTTTTTTTTATTATTTTTTAAGGTATACGATCAAAAAGGAACATAGCCCCTTGCCCCAAGCAAAAAGCTGTCCCTTTCCCCGAGCCGTGTTAGCAATGTATTACCTCGCCTAAACCCAATGAAACATCTCTCTCTGCACACAGTAATAAATTATGGGAAATAGGGACATTTGTGTACAAAGATGATGACATGGAAGGTTATAGACAATGTGATTATTGGACTGTTTTAGTACATCTTGTCCTTGTTACCACTAAGTCAGAATAGAAAACACAGAGATCAGATAAAATTTAAAAGCTGGACAACTCTTCCCTCCCAGAGTAAACCCTGGAAAATATTTGAAAAATAGCCATAATAAAGCAAAGATGACTTTGAAGGCACAGGCTGCAAATTTCCAGCTCGCCGTGGACCGTCTTTATTTCAGCATGTTTGAAGTCAGGCAAGAACTTATCCATAAAATAAAATAATGGAAGGGGCAGGGACATTCCAAGGGCTTTAATGTAGTCACAAAATTAGCAGGACTGGATTAAGTAACTCTTTAGCAAAACAAACTTCCAAATGTAAAATCAAAATTAAAAATCATCAGCGTCTTTTTTTTTCTTTTTTAACCCCAAACAGCAGCTCATTGAGGAACCCTTTCAATGGTAATAAAGAAAAGTGAAAAATAAATAAACAGTTTTATGTTTTCAAATGGGGAAAAAAACAGCTTCGGGCATACTGTCTAGTCTGCCTGTCTGAACTTCGGGCGAGAACTCAATTTACCCACGTCAGCAATATTGGGCTTATACCTGAGTTCGTATCAGAGGATCTCAGGAAACAGATCTGGCAAGGAACTGGGAACTTCTGCATTTTGAGAAGGCTTTAATAGAGCCATAGCAGTCTGTGAGCCAGGTTCTGATTTCTGTTATGCCACATTTTCTCCAGCAGCTTCATTAAGGTCTGGATTTGTGATACTCCAGAACTTCTGTCCCTGTTGGTTGTAACTGGACAGGTGTCTCCATTCAGCTAGCCCCAGGCTACCTGAGCATCATAGTAGAAAGCCAAGATTGGTTTGATAGTTGGTCGTCTCAGAGATAATGTGACATAATATGTAAATTGGGATTACAATTAACTTCTCAGCCATTCCTACACTGATGAGGAGGTGACAGCCAGAAGAGGGTGCAATTGCTCATGGCACAACACTGGTTGGCCTCCTCTAAGCAAGATCAAGTCCTTTAGACACGAGCCAAGACTGGATTTGGTTCTTAGCTGGAGCAAGACACAGGAATTCGGGGCCAAGCAGACCTCAAGACTGCACTTAAATACAAGAGGTTCAAGCACAAACTGTCCAGCTCTTCAGCAGCATCCCTGTGGTCTGGAGAATCAAGCCCACACCGTGCGCTCTTCATTTAGTCATCAGCCGCCTTATCTCATTTCCTCCACCCCATCAGGAGGGGAGAGTGGCTCAGAGGAGAGAGTGCTCTGCCTGGGATGAGTTGCCATAGGCCATTTAAATGCATATTTGCAAAATCCTTTCCTTCTGAAGGCTTCTCTCTGCCTTCCTCTTTTTTTAATCCACAAATGAAAAGAGAAATTACGCAGCATCAGCCCCAAGCGGGGCCATCTTTTGACAATCTCTGCGCCGCATTTTCCAAATGCGTGGCTGAACACAGTGAGCTCGGGTGCGGCTCTGCCACAGCCAAACACGGGGGTTTAGCTCTGATAACCAACCCCTTGCTTCTACCTCCATTTTCTAGCATGTGGATGAGAAGCCAAATTAAAACTTGAAGTATCTAGAGCAAATATGTCTGGATTAATGTACTTTGTTTACTGGTTGCAGAAAGTTCAGTTACATAAGAATCAAATTAATTTATTTTTTGCATTATTTCAATAATAATCCATTATATCTAGTGATTTTTTATCAATGATACATATTTCAATGTTAATATGCATCATCGAGTAACCTTGGATCAGTGTGTGGCTTGCTACAAGGTGCCCAAATGGTACCTACATAAATTCTCAATTCTGCTCTGTCACTCTGAGGGGCAGAGCCTTGACTTGGCTTCCCAGACATGCCAGTCACTGAGCAGGCTTTGTAACCTGCTCCAGGAGGAGCCTTTTCTTCAAGTGGATGTACTTTTTTTGGAATTACCAGAAGACTCCAGTAACAACAGAGCTTGTCCAAAATTGTGTCTACAACCCAGCACGCTTTGTGCCGGCGCTAAGAACTTGTTCACAACCAATACAAAAGCCCTTAAAGCACATTACTTTGTTATCAGTTGGTGATGTTTGCTATTTTTCACTAACTAAATGACATTTCATTCAATGAATTGCTCTTTAGTTAAAAAATAACCTCCTTTTTAATATAGACGCTGCCATCACTCTTAGAAATATGAGATGTCTCCCAAGGCATGCCTGATTAAGACATTCGGTTATTGAAATCAGCACCGCTGCATCACCTAAAATGAAAGCTTACATTTGTAGGAGCACATAAGATTTTCCCTGGAGTCGCATACAATGAAAGAAGTGCCCGTGGGGTCCTACCAGTGAAATCAGTTGTTGATGGGTTCAGGCAAGGAGCAGGATTCAGATGGGCACGCCAGCCACACCATGCATTTTTTTCAAGACCCTTTTGCTGGTATCACAGCTGACCCACAGTCTGGCTACCCTGCCTCTGTCTCTCCTCCTCTCTTCGTGGAGCTGCATCTCCAAGCACCACACGACTGTGATCCTGAACAAAATCAGTCTCTGCTAAAGCTCCTGCTGACCACAGAGCTTCACGTTGAATTGACAGGGTGCAAAATATTTTTTGTATGACAAAAATTGGCTGTGCCTGTTACAACACTTCTGGATGGCACACGCACTTCCCCCATAGAGCTGAACATAGGAAGACAACCTAGAAATAGGAAATCCTTGCTCAGTAAATTAACCAAGCTTCCATTTCTGCTAGCATTGCATTTAAAGTCTTCCATGAAATTGCCTGAGTCAGTTTTTAATAGAACATTGCTTTGGCAATTAGAAAATCTTCAATATATAGCTCAATCAAGAGGTTATACTAGGTGAAAATAATGGCAGTATATTTACAGTTTGTCATGGTTATACGTGCAGTTCATTATGCTGGTCCAGGTGAAGTGCTAGTTTAGGGAATGGAGATGGCCTGAAAATGTGGCAATTCCATCTGGAACAAGTGAAAGTGTTATTAGCTATTTTCAAGCAAAGCTGGTGGCGTTCCTAATGAACATTTCCAGTGCATCTCAGAACAAGATGTGTATTTAAACAGCCTCTGGCCTGAGCAGCTTACTGTTAGAGGAACAAAACAAGCTGGGAGGAAGGGGTTTCATGCTTGGGCTTCGCTTTCTGAATACACTCTGTTCACTTCAGGCCTGGAGCACCAAGGCTTTCTCTGGGGAGGTGGCAGCTGTGAGCACGAGGAACACCGAGGAGCCCTGAACATGACAGGTGACTGTCTGGTAGCATTACCAGACCATTATCAGGAGGACTGTCAATACAGAGGGGCACAAAGTATTAAGCCGAACAGAAAACCATCCCCAAATAGCAGACAGAGCCAGGCTCCTTCAAAGATAAGATTTTGAACCTGACCAGCAATTTCTCTCCTGCAGAGCAGCCTTTTCACCTACTTGTCTTTATTTGCAGAGATGGATGGCAGATGCCATATAAACGTTGTAGCTTGCTTGGAAGCCTTTCAGTGTTCAAACCTGGGTATTCACTTCTCTTCTCCTCCTCATTCTCCCCATTTACCATGCTTTGGTTCACATCACCCAGCAGTCTTGGAGACTCGAGTTGGATTGCTGTCTACCACCAGCCCAGACTACGTGCTCAGGGGACACTCAGAGTGGGTCACCTCCAAACCCAAGCCCCCAGAAGACCTATAACTCAGCCATCAGGTCTTCAGTGCTATTTTTCCCCCCCTTCACTTTATATTTCTGCTCCTTTTACACCACACTAGTTACTAACATGAGCAGAGATTCTTGTTCTTCCTATCCACAGACTGTTTCCAGTAGCGTGCTGTTTGCTAGAAAACTTCTGTTTTCCTGCTCAGAGGAGAGCTCAGCTATACCAAAGGGTGCTTTTATGCCAGCTAATCCTCCACTTTCCTTCTCCAAGGAGCTAAGCTGGTTTCACACACACCCTCCACCTTAAATAAAGGTAATTTTTCAGTCACTGCAGCATCATTCAGAGAAGCAGTGGTACAGCGGTGAGCGGCGTCCATTCACGAGGCTTAATTCAAGAAAGATGGTACCAAGCATTCAATCACTCGCTGTGAGTGGTGGCATCAATATCTTAAGCAACCATTACCAAGATAAAATGCAGACAAGGCACATGCTCCTGTGCAAGTGCTGGCAATGAGGTTGTGAAGGACTCAGCTTAACAGCTTGTGTCAGGTGATGAGGTTAATGGAAAAGAATTTGTTATTCAGGTCACTTAATGAGAATAACCTTGGGAGAGCTTAGCAGGGACCTTGGAGTAAAATAATTTATTCCTCTTCTGCTTCCATCACTGCAAGTTAACACAAGACAGAGAAAAAGCTGATCTAAACATGAACTCAACCTGTCAGAGCTGTGCGGTAGGAACAGCAGCAGCACAAGGCACGGTTGTAGTATCTGCTGCCCCTCCGCTGCTAACAGGCAGCACGCAGCCGTAAGAGCAAAGGCTCTGCATAGCCCCGTCTTTAAGAGAAGACAGCTGGTTCGGTAAGATGCAACTTGTCAAAGCACCGTGCAAGACAGGAACAAAAATAACCACTGCAAGCCGTGTCATTTTGAGCCCGTGCCTACTCTCTGGATCTGCTGGGCACAGGGAAGAGGCCCAGCAGCCATCCCCTGCGCTGCTCCTATTTGTGCTCCGCTGATTTGTTTTGCTGCTCAGCTCGAATCAGCAATAAGCTCCAGTTCCTGTGACTCGAGGCATTAGAGTGATCTGCTTCCACACCCCAGAGAGCCCCTGCTTCTCTGCACTGCCATTGCCCTGCGTGTCCTTTTAATTAAAGTGCTGCAAGCTGCCCAGGAAAACACATCTTCCGCAGGGCGGCTGCCTCATCTCCGAACAAAGCAGAGCTCCTGGGGGGAGGGTTTAGGATAGGAACCAGAATAAGGGGTGAGAAATCACTTGACATACCCCCAATCTAATCCCAGGCCTTGAGGCAATTATTTTGTGAGTCCAGAGGTAGAAGGTGTCAGGAGCAGGCCAGCAGCAGGCAGTACCAGCTCCATCCCCAGCTGTAACATAACCTTGTCTGCACGGGCCTGTTCCCTGTTGTGAGCAGCAAGGAAACCTCTGGGCAAAGCTGAAATTCCTTTGTACAGCTCTGGGCACAGTGACTTCCATGTAGGAAAACGATGTTAAACTTGACAGTGAGGGACAGGGGGAGTCATTCATCCTTGGAGGCAGGGTCTCTGAATCCAGCAGCCAGCAACTGCCTGAAAAAGGTGGGGAGGAAAGATAAATAGAGTTTTACAAGCACCAGGGCTTAAAAAATTGCTTCTAAGGGAGAAAGAAGAGAGGAACCTGCGCCTTTCTCTTGACATTAACAAAGCTACCTAACCCAGCTAAGCAAAGGAAAAGAAAGAAAGTCAAAGACCTTACAAAGAGAGCTGCTCTCAGCTGTTTGTTACCACAGATCTTAAAATACCTTCATCCAGCCTTGCACAGAGACACCAAGCCCTGCGTGACCCTCAGCAAATCCTCTCTGGCAGCCTCTGCTTTCCCCCAGCAGGTGTATTTATGGGCTCCCTCCTGGCCCTGCAGGGACCAGCCCTGCTCGCAGAGGCTCTGTGCACCTGTGTGGCAGCGGGCTGCTGGCGATTTCACTCCTCATTTCCCAGATCTTCACAGCTGGGTTGCAGAGGGGTTTATCAGCCCAGGAGTCTTCATCCCCTTGGTGCTACGGGGGCACAGTAGCACCTAGGGAAATGGGCTCGGTGCTTCGAGCTTCGCCGTCTCACCGCCAGTCCTGCACCTGGCTGCTTGCCTTGTACTCGTTCATCGTCGCTTTACTTTTGCTTCTCTGCAGCCTGAGTAATGTTTCCTGCCAGTGGAACTCTTTGACAGGCGTTGCTCTGAAACGCCTTTGACATTTGCGAGGGGAAGCAGGCCTACTGTTCACCAAAAAGCAGCAGTCGCCCCCCGAGCAGCAGGACGCCAGCTGCCGGGGCAGGAGCGGTGGGCACACGCCGTACAGCGTGTCTGAGTAATGATTAACGCACAACAAAGGGAGCTGCCTGCGCTGCGAATGGCAGCACACTGCGTGCTTGGGATGTGAGAGCATTCCGGGCTAATTTTGCACTCTGCATATAGTAATAAGACACAACAGGGTGTGCATTAAGCTCATCTTTTGAGAAGTGCAACAGTAGCTGAATAATGCACACCCTGGTAGTGTCTTATTTGTAGTGGACTATGGCTCATTAATTTTACATTTAAATTTTTTCAAATCCATTAAAATAAAAACAAATCTATTCCGAGGGCAGTTATGTAATGTATCCTTCCACTGAAAAGTAATTTCAAATGAAAACAGTAGGGAAAAGGTGAGGAAGAGCTTAGCTCAACCGTGTTGGGTTCGGTTTCTACAGGGCCTTCTACGAGTAGGTCCGTGCTAATGCACATATGTAATGGAAATAACGAGAATTATGGAAATCTATTCAGTGTACACTTTTTTCCTTTCTTTCTGTGTAACTACCTATGCTTTTTGTCTCCCTTTTTCTTACAAAAGTCCACTTTTCGGTATGTGACCCAGTAGCCATTTCAGAACAAGTTCATGTATAGAGCGTTCAAATGGGATCGTAACTGATTTTCCACCAAACTGATCCTGCTCTGGAGGCAGGGTCATGAAAATGGTTTTACCAGAACAGAAGCATGTACATAGACATGGACACTACAGGATTGAAGGGACACAGAGTGTTATTACTTTGTTTTATTATGAGGTCACTTTGAAAGCCTGAAGGAGAAACCTCTGCTTTCTGCTGTCCCCCATGAAACATGACTGTGCTTTATCCCTTTCTACAGGTTCCAACCTTGATGATGGACACACAGTTTTCAGAATTCACTCCAGATATCACCCCAATAATGCTGGCGGCTCACACCAACAACTACGAAATCATCAAACTGCTTGTCCAAAGACGGGTAACGATTCCACGCCCACACCAGATCAGATGCAACTGCGTGGAGTGTGTCTCCAGTTCAGAGGTGGACAGCCTGAGGCACTCCAGGTCAAGGCTGAACATCTACAAAGCCTTAGCCAGCCCTTCGCTGATTGCCTTATCGAGCGAGGACCCGATCCTGACGGCTTTCCGACTGGGCTGGGAGCTGAAGGAGCTCAGCAAAGTGGAAAATGAGTTCAAGGCTGAATATGAAGAGCTTTCCCAGCAGTGCAAGCGTTTTGCTAAGGACCTTTTGGACCAAGCACGGAGTTCCCGAGAACTGGAGATCATTCTCAATCACAGAGATGATCAGAGCGAAGAGCTGGACCCCCAAAAATGTCATGATTTGGCAAAGCTAAAGGTAGCAATAAAGTATCACCAGAAAGAGGTAAGAGTCATCTGAATGCAAAGGTGTGAGAAGGGTGCGGGTGGTGGATAAAATGATGCCTTTCTCTGGTTTCCATGGGTTTGTTCAGGAGAGCTGAGTTGGATTGAGTGGAGAACCACATGCACATGGGTTTGTGACAGCCCAGGAGGTTCAGCATGCCGCAGGGACGGCGTGAGGCTGCTGACAATCAAGGGCTACAGAGCCAGGACTGCTGTGGTGGGTTGTGGGTTCTGTGGCACTGACATTTTCTGTTTCAAAGATATTCGAATCCCATTTCCTTGTAACCCAGCCCCTTACAGCCTTTGGAGATTTCCAGGTTTGTTAGCTCTGAAAGCTTTTCCCGCTAACTGCCTTTCTATGTGAAACAAAGGCTAGAGGGGATTGTCTGGCTCATGGAGTTCTTGACTGCAGGAAATAATATAAAATCCTCCTAGTTTCCTCCAGCCACAAGACCCTCCCTGGCACCCATTCAGCACTAACTCATAAAAGCCACAGAAACTACAGCAGCACAAGAGAGCAGAAGAGAACAAGGGCATGCTCAGCATCCCGGGTTTTCACATTACCAGCAATTTTCTTAAGCAAAAATGCTTGTGTGATGCTGGGAGGTGGATCCTGGTCATTCAGGTACTTCACACCTCAGGCACCTCAGCTTGATTCTTCCTTCTTTATTCATCCATGTTGTAGGGACTCAGAAGCAATTCCCAGAACTTCAGACTTCTGCCCGCATTACCAGAAAGGAAAGACATAATTCAGGTGAAGGGCACAGAGCCTTTCAAAAGCCCTGCAGATCCAGAGATTTATAAGTTGATTCAATAAAGGCCACGAACCCAAGGAGAATGCTGACAACAATTTCATCAGTTGGCTCTGGATTTGCTTTCTCTTTCCAAACCTGGACAGAGTTTCATAGATGATGTATTGCTGTTGGCCAGTGATGTTCTCAGGTTATCTGAAAGAGGAATTTACTTTGCTTGGTTGAGGGACTTAATTTCAATGTATATTACATTTTTCTATATCCAGAGGGTGACAGGCATGGTGGAAAAGCTCACCACATTATTCTTTTCACTGTCTTCCTTACTTTGTTTTATGCATTGACCCAGATGAGGACAGCCCGATAAGATATCATTCCACCTCCCATAAAGGCTGCTCTTGTCACCTGAGCTAAGAGAGTCAAGAAGGGAAAGATGCAGATTCGCCTTTCTTCCCTTTGCCTCCTGAGCACCAGCCTCTTGCTGCAACAAGCTGGAGGTGAGGCCTCAAGCTTTCTGGGATTTAGCACGTGGTCAACATAGTGTTCTTGCTGTGCTGCTCCAGTGAAGAATCAGCAAGGCTCACTGGCCTCCGTGTCAATTTTGTTTCTTAACTCTAGCTGACAGTGCTGTGTAACACCATAGATTCATTAGAGGCATGAACAAGTAGTGCAGAATTAATCTAGAGAAGCGTAATACAGTTTATCAGTTCAGATGTTCCTTGAATCTGAAAAGGTCCAGAAACTCTGCTTCTTCTTTCTGCAGTCCTGAGAGCTGCAGACACTGCCCCTGCACGCACCCTTCTGCAGCCAGGGCATCTTGTCACTGCTCAGGCTCACTCATGACACCCGAGCAGCAAACTGTGACTTCCCCTTGTCTCGTGTTTGTATTAGGAGACCATAAGTCTGAAGAGGGCTCCTACATTTGAAATGCAGTGCTGAACAGTCCCGAAGCTCTTTTATTTTCAAATAACAAATTTTTAATCTTTGCTTGCTTGCTTGACAGCTTTCATATCTTTTTTGGGGGGGAGGGAGGACATATTTTCCTGAAGTCCAAACATATGGGCAAGTTCCATGTTTTGTGGCATATTAATGACAGTTCCAGCACAGAAATGATGGTGAATTAGCACAAGCTCCGTGTTGCCAGCTAATGTCAGCGCTGTTTCGAGGTGGAATACTGGTGGGCAGGGACAGAACGAACGAGCTGGGGAAGCCAGCACTACTGAAGCACCTCGCCCTACCTGCTTATTCACAAACACGCGATGCAGCTGGTGGCATGGTGTTTGCATGTAGCAGCAGTTCTTTAATCATGATAATGAGTCCAATACAAAACACCAGGCAAGATACAAATGTCATTGCCAGCTTCTGGAAAAAAATGAGTAGGAGCATTTGGTGGGAGACACTGAAAAAATGTCTTTTAATCATGATTGAAAAGTATCAGACTGAAAAAAAAATATAGTGGGGGACAAGAAGGAAAACAGAACCAAGTTCAGTTTCATGAAAGACAGTTCTGCAGAGAGGAGCAGCAAACTTTTTGAAGTAGATCATCTTGTTCCACTGAAGCATTTTGTCATAGCATTGACAAACTCACAAGTCAGATCTCCAGTAGCATAAGATGAAAATACAGAGTGGATGTTAGCTGTTTTCTGGGGCTGTAAATTATTACTGCAGTTGGTAATTCTTTATATTCAGAGTAAAGAATGTGTGATCTCACATTGATTTTAGACTAATTGCTAGAGAAAAATTCCTTCAGCTTCTTTTTTGAGTGAAGTAGACCTCAAAAATCCCCCCCAAATATGAATTGTTTAGATTTCAGCTTAATCAGGCAGTTATGTTCCACTTCTAGATTCTTTCTAGAGAAGTTGTTTAGAGGAAGTTGGTAAAAAAGTCATTGCTTTTGGACGGAGGTTCTTTGCTGTCTGTTTTTGGTAGGGAACAGATCTTAGAGTTGCTCTTGCTTTGCTCAAGGAGGCTGGAAATTCAGAGTACTCTTTTACCAGACATGTTTTTCAGTGTTTTTTCACCAAGGCATTTCATATGAACCCACTGTGCCTTTTTTTTTTTAATTTCCATTGCACTCTGCTACTGAAGAGTAGGTGCTGGTTTTGCTCTAGATGCAGAAAAATAACAGCATTCAAGTTCCTAGTGCAGGTTGATGATCTCTGGCAGTGAATATACAGGACTGGAAAAAATCCTGATGGGAAAACCTGGACAGCAATGGACAGTTTGTGCTCCAAAGAGCCCTGGAGGAAAGGGCTCTGAACCCATGGAGGAAAGGTTTTCAAAGCTAGTTAGGCTGCTAAATATGCAGGTAAGCAGACAATAAGATTTTAAACAGAGTATAATTTGGTTAAGTGCCTAAATCCTGTTGGAGATCAGACACTTAACTTGCTGACGCATTTTGAAACTCCACTGCTAAATTATCGGCATGTTTTGGCAGTTTCTCCTAACTACTGGAGAAAAATCTGGTCTTGTATGCTAATTTTAGCAAGCAATTAGCAATCTGCCCCACCATGAACACAACTCCCTGTTCCCTGGACTGAATCCAGTAAACATGGTCGGGGTACATGCAACTTCATCTCTAGGTCTGGCCTGAGCCCCTCGGTCTTCGCAGTGAGCAGCCTGAAGGAGGGCTGATGAGTGAGTGCAACCACAGCAGCTCCTTCGACCCTCCCTTCTGAGAGATCCTGGCCTCATCACAACGGGTCCATCTCAGCCTGTATCCCCAGGCAAATCCCTCTGCCCTGTCAGCATGGCCCAGGGCAGGCTGTGAAGACCTGAATCACTCCTCATCCAGGCTGCAGGTGCGTGTGTGCCTCGTGGCGCAGGTACGGGCTTCATCTTCACAAGGGTAGACAATTCTCCCAGATTTTTTCAACAAAAAAAGGTACAAACTTGGGTTCCCCCGAATGTGACATGTGCTAAGTGTTTTATAAACTGGCAAAGATGTTGCTTACGAGGAAGGAAACCCTTTTCCTTTGGGAGAGGACCAAAAATAGGGGGGAAAAAAATCTTGTTTTTCATGTTTGTTTTCAGTAAGCCCCTAGATTCTAGAAGGTAAATTACTGTTTACACAGAAGGAAAAAAAAATCAGTTATACAGGAAAGATTGAAGTGTGCCTTAGCTTTGTATATGCTGCATATACACAATATATATTAACGTACAACACTGCATATATCTGATGTTAGCACACTGCACATGCTGTGCAATGTTCCCAGGCTCCCTCTCCATCTCATCTCAAGTGTGGAATGGTTGTGTTGTCAGGGTCAGATTACAGAGGTGGCCTGATAGTTTCTTTGGAAGATAGGAAAGATTTAATATTTGTGGTTGCTGTGTGCATGGCAGTCACAAAATAGTAGGGAAAAAAAAAAAGGAGGGCATCCGTAGTACACCGTGAAACATGATGAGCTAGATCCAGCACTGACACATCAGTTTTCTCTGGGTCCACTTTCAGAAGTAATCTTCGTAGGATCGTGGGAGTTCACGTGCTTAGAGACAAGAAGGCTTTCCCGTAAATGCTCTGTAGTATATGGCATTTATCTTCATATTACTGCTTTCCATATTCTTTTATTCATGATTAATTTGGGAAGAAGAAAGGTGCTGAAGACTTAACACAAAAAGGCACAGCTCAGCTGTTGGGGATCAATCTTCACTATGCTGTTTCTGGCACCAAGTTAGCTCTGCATTTGTTAATTTGTTTGTATTTCTAAGAAAAGATGGGGAAAAGTCATCTCTTAGCATCTCGACAGGCACTTAAGCATGGTGTATGTACAGTGTACCATCACTGTGTTGAAGAATAAGAACGTAGGCTGACTTCAGATATAATTTCTGCATCCTTTAATGTTTTTACATTGCCAGGATAACGTAAAGCAACTGTACTGTAGCAGCTCATGGGGTCTGAAAGAGCAGGTAAGTCCTTGCAGAGTAATCTGAAGTTCAGCAAAGCGGATGCAACATTCTGCTGAGCTGCAGCACCCATAGTCCCAGTACACACTCAGCCCGTTGCAGCTGTCCTGCTCTCCATCACAGGTCATTCACTTCTTCGACATGAAGTAGAAGATCACAGTAGTGGGTTTTTAATACTTTGTATTTTTCCTGTGCTGGCAGTGGCAGATGGCTGTGCAGGTTCAACTGAGATGTCTGGAAGAAACACACACAATGCAAAGCACTCAGAAAAGATGTATTTTATCTGAGACTCTTTTGCTTAGCGCTTTCACTGAGTTAGATCAAAGGGCTGCATGAAATTCCCTTTCAG